CGAGGCATGAGAGGGGCTATGGCTGTAGTCCCAGCTACTCGGGGAGAAGCTGACGGCAGGGAGGATCGCTTGGCCCAGGAGTCTGAGGTTTGCTGTGAGCGAGGCTGACCGCCCACGGCACTCACTCTGCCGTGGGGACAGAGTGGGCACTCTGTCTCGCAGAAAAAATCAAAAACAAAAAAAAAAAAAAAAAAGAGAAACCAGGAATCGGAACACACACTACACGGGTATCCCATAATAAAGAAGCAATCACATTACCGATTCCAACATGATGATACACACCCTCCATTCTTTAATTTCCTGAATCCTTCCATTCTAATCTCTAGGCCATGAAGGATGAACCCTAAAAATATTACCCCAATCTTGATGGACTGAGTTACCTAAGCAAAAAAATAAAAATTACTTAGACTGACGTGGAGGTCATGCTACACCCTCATTAGGGACAGAGAGAGACCGGTGAGAAAAAGAGGTCGGACAGGCGTTTGCGATCGATGGGTTTCTTCATTTCCTGACTCAAGCTCGTAAGGAAAGTTGACCTGAACTCAAGAACAAACAAAAACGAGGCGCTGGCTCTGTGCCCCACACCAGCAAGTGACTGCATGGATCTTTTGTGCGTGACATAATTATTCCTGGTAAGGGCAGCTCTGTCAGAGGATTCCAGAATGAGGGAAGGAAAGAGAGGAACTCCCTTGCAATCTGAGATGTCCCTGGTATCAGACACCCCAACCCAGAATCAAGGCCTTGTGCCTGGAGTCCAGCAAGCTCACTGGAGACTCGAGACTGCTCATGGAATCATAGTTTCTGAATCTATCATCTGTGAGTTGGAGCTTCAGAAAAAAAAAAATTTTTTTTTTTTTTTAAAAAGGACAGGAATTTTCCTAGGAAACACCCATGAATATTTTCCGTGTCTACACCAGGTCATTTGAACAGAGCCTTTTATTTTTGTCGGCGGGAATTCTTTAGTTTGTAAAAAAAAAAAAAAAAAAAAACAGAGGGTATGCTATTTCTTGCAAGTCATTTGTTTGGTGAAACTCAGAGGAATATTTAAACTCTAGAACTTAGACTGTCATATAGTTAAAAAAAAAAAAAAGACAAAAAAAAAATGAACCCTTAACCTTTTAACTTGTTTCAGTTTCCCATGATAGGGAGTTTTAGGAATTTGAAATTATAAATGGAATTGCATCCATTTAGCAAGTATTTAGTCAGTGCCTGGAGTGCACACCACTCTCAAGACTGAAGACCAGCAAGGCAGAGCGGTATTTATCACCCAGGAACTCAGCTAATTCAGTAGATCTACTTTGTGTGAAATTTAAATATGATGGGAGTCATTAAACGTTAAAATAACAGAATAATGTCAGAAAATCTGACTCGAAAAATTCTTTGGAGGCCGGGCGCGGTGGCTCACGCCTGTCATCCTAGCAACTCTGGGAGGCCGAGGCGGGAGGATCACTCGAGGTCAGGAGTTCGAGACCAGCCTGAGCAAGAGCGAGACCCCCGTCTCTACTAAAAATAGAAACAAATTAATTGGCCAACTAAAAATACATAGAAAAAATTAGCCGGGCATGGTGGCGCATGCCTGTAGTCCCAGCTAATTGGGAGGCTGAGGCAGGAGGATCGCTTGAGACCAGGAGTTGGAGGTTGCTGTGAGCTAGGCTGACGCCAGGGCACTCTAGCCCGGGCATCAGAGTGAGACTCTGTCTCAAAAAAAAAAAAGAAAAGAAAAATCCTTTGGGGATGCATGACAAGCTGTTTGGATTAAGTCAAGAGAGAAAAGTAGATGGCCACAAAAGCTTTCTTTTAGAAATACCATGGTGATGAAATAAAGATGCTAGATATTTTGCAATTGATCGCATTTGTGTAAGTTATGCCATGATTTATGATCATGCATGTGTATACATCATACAAAGTAGACAGCATGGACTTCTAAGGCGAGAATACAAATCTTGCATATAGTTAAAGTTACTTTAATAATATTAGAAGTCACTTAATTAATTAAAAGTCAATATTCTTTTAATACATTTAAAATCTCTAAGAAAAAACAGGGCATAACAGTTGCTCGTTGTAAGACTAATTTCTTTTTTTTTTTTGAGCAGAGTCTCGCTTTTGCCAGGCTAGAGTGAGTGCCGTGGCGTCAGCCCTCCTCCCAACAACCTCTAAACCCTGGGCTCGAGTGATCCCTTCTGCTCAGCTCCCGAGTCGGACAAGCATGCACCATGCCTAATTTTTTTTTTATATATAATAATCGTGGCCATTAATTCTTTCTATTTATAGTAGAACCGGGTCTCGCTCTTAGCTCGGCTCGTTTTACTCCTGACTTGACACTCGCGCTCGGCCTCCCAAGGTAGTTACAGCGTACCACAGCGCCGCTAAGACTAATTTATTCATTCCTATTCTAGTACATTTTGAAGTCTAAACGTTCGGCACCCCCCTCTCTCCATCTGAATTGAATATCAGGCATAGATACAATTAGACCCTGCCCTTTCTCGCCATAACAATACTTTTTTTTTTTTTAAGTATCAGCTTCTATATTCACTCTCTCTCTTGGCCTGTATGCCCACCCCTCTTACCCTTTTACCCCTTCCTTAATTATTGAAACCTTTTATCTACTGGTAACTTCTATGCCGGCGGTTTCCTGGGTTTATATTTCTCTGAATAATTCCAGCAACGTAAACAAATATAATATAAACGCTGCAATAAAATGTTATCCACTAGAGTAGTAGAAAGTTGTCGATTCCCACAAAGTTTGTAGCTATTAGCTTTATTCCTAACAAACACATTTTCAGCTTTTAAAAGCCATTTGTTTGGTGAAACTCAAAGGAATATTTAAACTTTAGAACTTAGACTGTCATATAGTTAAAAAAAAAAAAAGAACCCTTAACCTTTTAACTTGTCCCAGTTTCCCATGATAGGAGTTGTAGGAATTTGAAATTAAAGTACCAATTCACTGGGGCAAAGGTTCTGCTGAGCCCTGAGTAATGAAAAAGCCAGAGTTTGGGTCTAAATCCTATTCCTGACCCCATCTCCGGAAAGTTGCCAAATTCCTGTTTCTCAGCGTGTTTAAAACAAAACTATTTACACCTGCCCGAAAGAAGCATTGTGGGGGAAACTGACGTCACGAATTCCGGCCCCTTGGCCAGGTGCGGCGGCTCACGCCTGTAATCCTAGCTCTCTGGGAGGCCGAGGCAGGAGGATCGCTTGAGGTCAGGAGTTCAAGACCAGCCTGAGCAAGCGCGAGACCCTCGTCTCTACTAAAAATAGAAAGAAATTAATTGGACAACTAAAAAATACAGAAAAAATGAACCGGGCATGGTGGCACACGCCTGTAGTCCCAGCTACTAGGGGGGCCGAGGCGGGTGGATCGCTTGAGGTCAGGAGTTCAAGACCAGCCTGAGCAAGAGCGAGACCCTCGTCTTTACTAAAAATAGAAAGAAATTAATTGGACAACTAAAAAATACAGAAAAAAGAGCCAGGCATGGTGGCTCACGCCTGTAGTCCCAGCTACAGGGGGCCGAGCCGGGTGGATCGCTTGAGGTCAGGAGTTCAAGACAAGCCCGAAGCGAGAGCGAGACCCCGTCCTTACTAAAATAGAAGAAATTAACTGGACAACTAGAAATAATACAAAAAATGAGCCGGGCGTAGGTGGCGCATGCCTGTAGTCCGCAGCTACTCAGGAGGAGGCTGAGGCAGGAGGATCGCTTGAGCCCAGGAGTTGGAGGTTGCTGTGAGCTAGGCTGACGCCAGCGCACTCACTCCTAGCCGGGCAACAGAGCGAGACTCTGTCTCAAAAAAGAAAAGAAGAAAAAGAGAGGAAGGAAGAAGGAAGGAGAAGGAAGGAAGGAAGGAAGGAAGGAAGGAAGGAAGAAGGAAGGAGAGGAAGGAAGGAAGGAGAGTAAAGTATGGCATCACTTAAGGAGTTCTTACGACCACTCTTGCAATACCTAACATTCTGTGCTTACAAATCAACAGTTCTTTTAGGAAAGAAGAGAGAAGACAGGGCTTGCTAAGTAAACCCACCTTTTTCACATGGAGGCAATGATTCCATTTGGCGTTTTCTTAGGGAAGAGATTTTGACCCAGGCTTCTTTAGTGGCAGTTCCTGCCATCCCTCAGAACCACCACCACAGAAATTTATTTTCCCAGGGGAACGCTGGCGCCGCGCTCAGAGCCAGCTCCTACCAAGTTTAATCAACCACGCGCAACACTGGCCCCCAGTGGCCAAGGGTGACCGGTCTTCTTAACCCCAGTGAGTGTGCTATCTCGAAGAGAGTTCAATCGTTGCCAATATATTAGCGGAACGGTCACCCTGTTGAAGCTCATCCTGCTTAGAGACTCTCAAATAAATTAAAAATCAAGCCCTCTGACTTGGTTTTCTTTTTCTAAGGCAAACGAGATGTTTAATATACAAAATGTATACCAAACAGGAATTGTGACATTCATAATGTATGCGTAGAGAATAGACTGTGTCAGAGAAAGTATCAATTTGCAATCAAGAGCAAGTCACACCAATCTTTCTGGTTGCAAACCTTGCTAAACAACAACCTCAATTGAAGGTAAGATCTAGACTTGCGGTTTGGCACCACAGCATTGTTAATTCGATGATATACAAAAAGATGCTTGTGCGGGAGGCACGCGGTTTAAACCCTCACGTCTGGCCAACCTAGCAGAGCACGTTGGACATCAAGACATGTCCTTGAAGTTTTTTTCTTTTTTTGGTCTCTGCAAAATGCTAAGAACGTTACTTTAATGGCAAGGATTACGACGACGGCTATGCAATCGCAGTGCCAAGAATGCAGAGCATGCGTTTATTTATTGCAGTAACCACATTTTTCCCTGGGGGTGTGCAGAGCAGCGAGATGGAGTTGGACGTAGAATGATGCCACGGGCTTTTTATTAACCGGTGGAGAAAAAAAAGTAGTTTTTTTAGTGGTGGGGAGGGCAAGGAGTTGGCAGAAGCAGTTTCCACCTGGCTACACCATTGTTCTTCTTCATTTTCTCGTCTAGTCTTTGAGGCCATCCAACCACCGCACCATCCGAGAGGCATAGTGAGAGCGGTGGGCGTCATCCCCCCGGATCCCTGAGCCCCCTGCTGTGTCCCGGAAAAGATGGCTCGCCTCCAGCCATCTTATTCTTCGATGAAAAAGCAGAATGTCGTGCTTAAAGTCTACTGCCTAACATAGACAGGTAGAATCCCTGTGCTTGCAGATGACACCGGAAAAACCAACCCAACGAGGGGTGTCCATTCCGACTCATTAAGTTTGTTTTTCAATGGACTTTTTTTTATTTATTTAATTTAATTTTTGTTTTGCACCCTGCCAATGCTTTTGCTCCAAAGAGATTTTTTTTTTTTCCTTTTTTTCTTTTCTAGAGTGCAAGAAAGAGAACGAGCAACGACCGGAAGATTTCTGTCGAGGAGAAGCTGTTGTGGACCGCTTATTCGCTTCTGAACTGTAACCTAAAAGCAAGATGTTTGTAAACGTGGACGTCTATTTTTTCTCTCTCTCTCTCTTTTTTTTTTTTTTATAATCACACAACACAAAAGTGTCACTAGACCGTGGGTAGAGCTGTCGGAGAGCACACGGCGATTATAATTTTTGTGAGATGCTTTGAATAAATTAGAATAGGGAATAGACAGCAATACTTAGTCGTTAATCTCTTTCCCGTTTAACCCGGCTAAGAGTGGAAGTCTTGCAACGCTGTTTCACAGGACCCGTTGCCTTAAGATTCCGAGTTAACCCAGGCAAAGTGGCTAAAATCCCATCCACGTTTGGTGTTTGACTCCAAAAGCTATTTGAAACTCTTGTTTTGTTTTTTTGCTTTTGCCTCCGTGAGTCATGGAGTCATGGTGCCGAGTTGTGTACGAGAGAGTCGTGTGGTTGAGTGTCAGAATATGACATGTGACCAGTGCCCTGTCCCCATCCGTCAGAAGCTTTTTATACTATCAGTTCACAACAGGGTCTCCTTTGTTGTCGTTGTTGCTTTTTTTAT